TATCGCTGTTTTTCCACAACACAGTCTTACTGCTGACATCAGAAATGCAAACTGTGGATATATGATCACTGATGATGTTGTAGTTCTGAGCAGAGTTGAATCAAGGTGGGGGGCCTGCTGATGGTCGTACTACGTACAGATCCCTACAGCTACTTTGATTTATAAGAAGTACTATTAGAACTTTATAAAGGTTTGGTTAGTTAGACTTTTGCTGTGTGTACATTGTTTTTTTTTCTGCTGAGCCATCTTTGCTTTGTAGGTTTTGGGATTATTGTCCCTGTATTTGAGTTTTAATCTTTTTGACTATTCTGGACGTGTGTGAGGCTCCGTCCCTGCACATTCAAGCCTAAATAGAAGAGGTTGAACAGGCTGCACTCAATCTTTGTTGGCATAAACACCCTAAGTACGTCCACTAAAAATTGCCAATTACAGACGTCGATTGTGTTGTGATCGTTGAAGCTGGATGATATTGAAAAAATGGACATTGCGATTTTCTTCTTTAATTTCATGCCAGGGAGGCCTGCTCTCCAGTGCTGTCAGAACAGAGCTGTTGTAAGAGGTTTCACTGTCTGGGGAACTATCGCGTGATTTGCAGAACAAGCCGTTTAGTGCCCTCTGCAGTCTCACCCTGGGATAACTCCAACATGCGTTTGCCTCATGAACTGAAACTCTCCCCACATTCAGTTTGGTCTCCAGCGATGTAACACTATATTTGAGTTTTAAAATGAGGGTCAGCATCACAGGTCATCTTTAAACAAACGTTAGCTTAACAGAAATACTGTGATAGCTAGTTTACCCAAAACCTCCAGATTCACAGCGAGACCACGAGATCACACGAGATGCAAATGATGCTCCTGCTGTACACAAAATTCATAGGCTGGAGATTAACCTGAAACAATATTGGAACAAGGCCGTATCTCCTTCTGGCTGTTTACTCTTCACTACGCAATTTAGGTTGTAACACTGCAAAGGCCCCTAATCTCCTCTGAGCCAGTTTGACAGAAAATGTGATGTTATTTTCCCACAATGGTTTTTGTGTCAGTGTAGGGAATAATGTGCAGGGTTACCACAGCCTCGACTTATAAAACTTAAAGAACAATGAACAGCATGAGGGGGACTGATGGAGAGGTACGCCCTCTGTCTCCTGATCACACCGTTTGATCAGTCTGACAATGATCGTCAATTTAATGATATCCCATCAACAGCCAACTGTGTTCCAACAAATCTGCACACAGTCCTGCTCTGTGCTTCGAAATCAAGCGGGAAGAAACTTAAGATGACATATTTCAAACTGAGGCGGCTGTGACTCGGTGGAAGAGTCAGCCGTCTCTTAACTGGAAGGTCAGGGGGTCGATCCCCAGCTCCTGCAGTTACATGTCCATGTGTCCTTGGACAAAAAACACTTAACGGCAAGTCGCTCCTGCTGTTGAAGCATCTGCGGTGTGACTTTACACAGCAGCCTCTACCGTCAGTGTGTAAAAGCGATTGTGATCATCAGCCTGAGAAACTGCTGCGTGTGTTAAAACTAATTCTATCTTTCCACGTGTGCTTTCGTTTGTAATGCCCATACCTTTCTCCTGTTTGTGTGTTTTTACCCTCTCCTGTAGGTCATGGCAAAACTCCTAAAGATGCAGCCTCTGTACGGGCCACCCACCCCATCCCAGCAGCCTGCGGGGTCTACTACTTCGAGGTGAAGATCATCAGCAAAGGCCGAGATGGGTAAGAGAACGGAGCAAACAAAACAATCTCCAAACACTCCTGCTTAGGGGTTTCCTAACCCCGGCTCCAGGGGATCACAGAACTTTGTCAAGCACACAAAAGCCTTTCAGATGTTGTGTAGCGTAGCCACCCACCGCTAGTTGGGGCTGTAGCTCCGGTCAGTGGCTACTGCCTCCGGTCTTATGCTGCAATATGACCTGAAAGTAAACAGGACAGTGGAGGAATGGCATCCCGCAGCGCGTTGCAGCTTGGCAGTATTTGAATCTATAAAACGGAGATGATGTTATATGTCGGCTGCGTGAGGTTAGTGATGGCCGATGGGTAACCACACCTAGGAAGGCTGGTGTTAGCAATGCTAATGTTAGCCAAACAGACGGCCAAATTCAACCCACAATGCACTGCATTTTGGTTCACTTCCCTTGTTTGGTCCTGAATGCGTGCTGACCTACTGGGAACCGAACTCTGATGCACTTAGAAGTGAACCGAGACCCCCGGTTTTTAAGCAGACCGGAGTTTGGTTCTTTGGTCAGAACCAGAGTTTGAGTGAGCGTTCACACCACCATGAAGTGAATGAACTATATGACAAAGCTCACCGCAGCTAGTTTCAAATGGACCAAAAGGCTCAGGTGGGAATGCACACTAAGCAAACTACCGTGATTACAAGACAGAAAATAAGAAATAAAAATGTGCGGTCGGGTCCACGTCCAGGAAGTGCACCGTGCTTGAGCACTCCTCAAACGACCTGGACCTTAAGGGTGAAGCGTGCTGAGTGCCCCCTAAGACTCAGTCTGTTTCAGGGGGTCTACTAGAGGGGGGGGAAACGGTTCGAACTCTCTTCCTGCATGGGGATTTCTTTTGCGTTCAACAGCAACAATGAAAGCGCCAACAGTTGACCAGATGAGTCTGGATCAGTATGCAGTGCTCTTCTCTACATAGTTAAAGGTTAAGACTCAGTTTTCTGCACAGATGTTTCAGATCGTTGACCACTGCTCTCATGCCTCACCGTTACTCCCACTAGTGATGAGGATTAAAGAATAGCTAAGTCTCTTTGATTTAATGCATGTGGCATTTTTTTCATCTTGATGTGCACCGGTTATGATCTCCATCTCGCAGACTGTAACTCGGACTACTGACCATTCATGTGCATGTGGAGATGGTTGTGGGGTTTTTGATTATTGCTGGCTGGTCTTCTAAACTCTCACTCTCTCTTTTTTCCCCCCACAGGTACATGGGCATCGGCCTCTCAGCTCAGGGTGTAAACATGAACAGACTCCCTGGTAAGATGACACTTAGTGTGCCTTTGGGTGTGCTGTGAAGAGTCAGTCTGTCTTTGTGTGTGTCTGCTGTGTGTTTCTGTGTGTCTCTGTTAGTGGGTGTACTCAACGTACAGAGGCTGTAGTCCTCAAAGAGGGAAGCCCCCCCCCCCTCTCTCTTCCTGATTTCTGACTCTATCCACTGTCCTATCTCTCCAGTAAAGGCCCCAAAATAAATCTTTACTGAGGAGAAAGCGCTCTGAAATGGAGGTCGTGAGCACTGCCAGCGCAGAAAGCGCAGTCTGTGGACACGGACACCATGAGTGTCACTTCCTGCTCACACCTCCAGGAAAAAACAAAAAAAAACAACCCCAGAGTTTTCTGTTTCTGTTTTTATGTAACGGCTTCAACGGCGACATTAAAGCACTTGTTCAAGAGGGGCTTGTCATCTCCAGACTAATGTGGATGCTACGTCTAAACTTATGTGAAACTAAATTAAAGCTAACAATGTAGTTTAGTATAACTAGTGTGATTGAAGCCTGATTGTATCTTGTTTGTTTGAACAGCAAATTGTCGAAATGAAAGATTTTTTAAATGTTATTTTCAAAAGGAGACAGGATTATCTTCCATGACATGACTTTGATCCAAGTCGCTTTATAAAGAATACAAATCCTCCTCCTTGCTTGCGTGAATTTTACCAAAGATTGTGGAGGTTTTAAAAACTTGAATCTACCATTAGTCGGTATGGAAAGAGTTCTGCTGCCATGATGTGAACCCGTTGACACCCTGCTGGCAGATGTTCAGATGGGTGCTCTGGAGGTTATCAGGCCAAACAGGAGCCCCTTCACCACTCTGAGAGCTGGACCCGCCCAGGAGCTCCGGTCTCTTGTGAAGATAACAGGAGGCCCAGAGCAAACTGCAGAGACTCGCTGCTGACGGGTGGACGCTAATGAAAAGTCACTAATTGTGAGGAACGGATGCCAAACTGCTGCAGAGTGGAGAGCTCTCTCTCTGATGAATGTGGCGTGGACTCAACTGTGCAGCTCAGCAGTAACTCACAGCATCCTGCAGCTCGGTTTGTAATGTTAGAACAGCCCAGAGGCCGACTGTGCTGCTGCTGCAGAGGCTGATTCCTCCTCCTCCTCCTCCTCCTCATCTCTCTCCTCCTCCTCACCCTCCTCCTCCTCATCTCTCTCCTCCTCATCTCTCTCCTCCTCCTCCTCCTCACCCTCCTCCTCACCCTCCTCATCTCTCTCCTCCTCCTCCTCCTTCATCTCTCTCCTCTTCCTCCTCCTCCTCATCTCTCTCCTCCTCCTCCTCCTTCATCTCTCTCCTCCTCATCTCTCTCCTCCTCCTCATCCTCACCCTCCTCATCTCTCTCCTCCTCCTCATCCTCCTCCTCCTCATCTCTCTCCTCCTCCTCATCCTCCTCCTCCTCATCTCTCTCCTGCTCCTCCTCACCCTCTTCCTCCTCCTCCTCCTCCTGCTCCTTCTCCCCGACAAAATCATGAAGTCACTTTGTCCTGAAATGTAAACAAACCCTCTCCTCCCAGAAGTTTGAGCACATCAACAATAGGAAGTTGTTGAAGGTGAACTTGGGACTCTTTAGATGCTAAAGCTGTGAAGGCTGAGAGAAGCAGCTCGTTCAGACGATGCAATTTGTAGAATCTGCGCCAAAAAGCATCCAAATTTCTTCTCAGGAGTAATATGTGGCCCGGAAGATTATTGGGATTGACATTTTAATTTATTTTATAAATGTTTTAACAACAACGCCATGATGATCCATTCTCGCCTGTACAGTACTGTTTGTCTACAGAATGACCACAGGCTCAGTACTTAGTGGGAAAACTGGATCAACTGGCCCAGGACTCAGGGAGCTCACACACACACACACACACACACACACACACACACACACACACACACACACACACACACTCTCCATTGAGACGATTACAGTTAGTCCTCCAGAGTCTGTGATGGGAGCCGCGTCCCTAGCAACCATCTGCTTGTCTTAGTTACAGTGACTTCTTCTCAACAACGGTGGAGGAATATCACACTGTTGATACTCATTATCGGCCAATCAGACAGAAGTATTTAACACAGATGTGTAATCAAGTATTCAAATCCTGGAGTCTCTCTGGGGTCTTTTTTTATTTGCGGTTTTTGTGGGTCGCACATTTCTTAACTGTTAAAAAAACAAAAACATTTCCTGAACAGTTCTCGGAGTAGATTTAGCTGCAATCTGTTTCCACTCGTCATGTTTGCCAGCTGGAGTCAAGGACGAGATATCACCGTGGATAAAATGTGTTACTCTGCATCTGTGTGTGTTTTAATAAATCAGCTGTGGAAGCCAGAGAGGAGGATGGGAAATGACAAATTCTAAAAACAACATGACCATGTCTGATCCTGAAGGATTTTCCCCCTCGTGCAAATCAGACAAAAAGAAACCGTAAACCAGCGTTAACAACTTCCCTTCATCATTCTCTAATCATTGAAGCTTGTTTCCAGAGATGAAGAAAGGATATCTCTGACAATGACACAGAGAAACATCTTTCCTCATGTTTCCCTGGTTGAAGAATATTTGAGGAATCACTCGGATACATATAGTTTCTAGAAATAAAGCACATAGATCAGCCTGGTAAACTCTCCTCTCGGGGCTTCTGGAACCATCTGTTGTGTTTTCACATCTTTTTTTTCAACTTTACATCACTCAGGTTGGGACAAGCACTCATACGGTTACCACGGAGACGACGGCCACTCCTTCTGCTCATCTGGCACCGGGCAACCCTACGGACCCACGTTTACAACGGGCGACGTGATTGGCTGCTGCGTTAACCTCATCAACAACACCTGCTTCTACACAAAGAACGGCCACAGCTTAGGTAAGGAGCGCCCAACGCACGACCTCCCCAGGGTAGATTTGAGTGGACCTGTGGGGGGGGGGGGGGGGAATTGTCTGAAGATACCCTGCTTGATCGTCTGTTTACACTTTTTGGGATAGAACTAAATCTGTTTTCCTGCTGGATTGGGCTTCTTTTAGGTGCTGCTGCGGGTTGTTTTCATTTTTTTAGCCTTGGGCTTATTTTGTCACTTGTTGTCATACATACCTGGCAACCCTGGTTAGCTTGAAAGATGGAAGCGCTCATGTTTACATTCAGCGGCTGGAAATATGCCCATATTACTTTAGTTTTCTCGAGAGGAAAGATGAGGAGAACATGGTTGTCAGATGTAGGTTGTGTCCCGGTACTCCGGTCTTTCTACTGCAAAAAAAAAACCACAACCTCAAACCTCCTTTAGCACTTACGACTGACGACAGAACAACGACGTGAAGCTGGACGCCCTCTGCGGCTGCGGAGGATAGCTGTAGCTCTACAATGCCTACAAAACAACCAAGGCTGGATTTTAATCGAGGACAGCTACAAGCCAAAAATAACTAATGAAACTGTAATGAGTAATATATTCCTTTTTTCCATTAACGAGCCCCACACCGCTTATAATTATGAAGCTTTCTTCTGTCGAGTGTTGTTTTTTGCTGATTCAGTGGTGTGTCCTCTGCTGGCCGTCAGTAAGAAGGCCGTGTGGAGAACTTCTACATCAGC